CCTTCGTAGAGTGCTGTGACGTCACAGCTCACAGCAACCTCCAACTCCTGGGCTTAGGTGATTCTCTTGCCTCAGCCTCCCAAGTAGCTGGGACTACAGGCACCTGCCACAACACCTGGCTATTTTTTTGTTGCATTTGGCCGGGGCCGGGTTTGAACCCGCCACCCTTGGTATATGGGGCTGGCACCCGACTCAGGTGGCCACAGGTGCCACCCAGATTTTATAACCTTTTAATTGCTTCCAATTTCATCAGTCTCCCCCAGAAGGTTATCTCATTTCCATCTGCATCTCTCTCGTTACTCTGGATGTGAACATGTTACGGGTTATTTCTATTTATTCCTAATAAATTGTTTTTCTTTTCCTTTTGCCAGTTTTCTGTTGGGTGTTTGCTTTATTTTCCCAATTAATTAATTAATTTTATTTTTTGTTTTATTTATTTATTTAGTTATTCTTTGAGACAGAGTCTCACTCTGTTGCCCTGCGTAGAGTGCTGTAGCATCACAGCTCACAGCAACCTCAAACTCATGGGCTCAAGTGACCCTCATGCCTCAGTTTTTCTTTCTTTTTTTTTTTTTTTTAGTAGAGACAGGGTCTCACTTTTGCTCAGGCTGGTCTCAAACTCATGAGCTCAAGCGATCCACCCACTTTGGCCTCCCAGAGGGAGCCACCAAGCCCAGCCAGGGATGTTTGCTTTTTTCTTTTAGATTTACATACTTTTTTTGACACATGAAAAATATCAATCTTTGTCCTAAACATGTCCCAGTTTGTACCTTGACTTTTCTTTCTTTTATTTTTTTAGATAGATTTTATTATTTGGAGTTTTAGGTTTGCAGCAAATTTAAATGGAAGATACCGCGTTCCAATGTGGCCCCCTCACATGCACGGCCTCCCCCATCCATCACGTGTCCCCTCCAGGGAGGTGCCTTTAGAACCATCTGTGAACTGACAGTGTCATGTCCTTGTCACCGGGACTCTGCAGTTTACAAGAGGCCGCCCCTTGGTTCTGCATATTCCATGGGCTTGGTGTAGCATATAATGACAAGGGCCGACACCGTGGTGTCACACTGGGTAGCGTCACTGTGCTCCACCTGTCCACTCCGCCCTCCCCGCCTCTGCCTCTTCCAGAGTCACAGCTGGAGTCTCCCAGTGTGTGGGCTGTCAGACTGGCTCCTTTCACCTGGTCACAGCATGTGGCCTGCCCTCTGTGTCTTCTCATAGCCAGACAGCTTGCTTTAAAAAAAATTTTTTTAACGATGAATAATATTCCATTGTTTGGATGTACCACAGTTTATGTAAATTTCCTTATCCATTTACTACCAGAGAACATCTCGACAGCTTCCGAGTTTTAACAATTATGAGGGACACTTAGGGGTGTCATTATGTCCAGGCTTCTGCCCATCCTTCTCACCATCACGCCGCACACACCCAGCAACACCCCCAACACCTCCCAGCACACCCTGTCCAGCTCACCCTGTGGGGCAGGCCAAGGTTTCCAGGAAGAGATTTGCTCGGGACAGTCACAGACAGAAGGGCCCTGCCCGCTACTGCGGCCAGACAAGACTGGTCCCCTGGAGGGGAAAGTCTTTGAAATTTCAAAGCAGGAGAGTCCTGGAGAGAAAGCCCAGCACGCAGCCTCCCCCAGGCCCTGGCTTCCGGGCAAGAGTCTGCTCAAACCCTCTCACAACTCCTGAGGGGCAAATTATTTGCATTAATTAATTGATTGATTCATTAATTCAAGACACTGTGCTTGGGACCTACAGCTGGGTTTCCATCAGCTTTTTGTTCAGCTGACTCAAAAGGCTCAGAGTGGAGACAAGCAAGAACAAATTTAGGGGCCTGGACATTGTAAATAATGTTAGGATCTGGCCCCAGTGTCCCTTAGACTTGAGAATCACAACTCAATATGTCCGATGGGTTCTTCCTCCCTTCTCAAGCTTTTCTGAAAACAGATACTTCCTGCATGTATCGGTTATCTATGGCGTGTAACAAATATCTCCCAAACTTAGCAGCTTAAAACAACCTTTTGTTTGCTCTCAGTTCTTCCTTCAGTTTGGACGGGTCTGGGACAGGCTGTTCTGCTGGGCTCTCTGGGGCTGGCTCAGGTGGCCCCACTGGGGTTGGAGGGTCTGCCGTGGCCCCTCGTCATAGGTGCAGGGGCCTCCAGTGCTGTCACATGTCTCTCTCATGACCGTGTCTCTCTTGCCTGCTCTGTCCAGAGTGCAGAGGCTGCTGGGCTTCTCAGTTCACATCACTGAGCCACATTCTACTGGTCCAAGTGAGCCCCACCTAGATTCAGGGTGGGGAGACAGATACCACTCTTGATAAGACAAGCTGCAAAGAATCTGAGGCCATTTTCAATCTACAACTCTGCTTCTGACGCCGCCTGGTTTACTGTGGCAGAGAAAGAACTTAATCTTTGTTTTGCTGTAATATCACTGACTTCTCTTTTTCATTTCTACTTTTGCATGTTGGTGACCCTCAGAAGATGACAACAGCTGAGGAAGGCTACATTTCTTAAAGCCGGACATCTCCTACTTCTTCCTATAAGACGTTTTTAACTGAATAGCATCTTGGGAGTTATTGCCTGAATAACCCATCCTTTTAATTTTAATGCGCCACACATAACAATTTTATGAATAACTCAAATTATTTGTAGCATATATGAATATTCTTTTTTTATTAAATCATAGCTGTGTACATTAATGTAAATATTCTTAAAATCAAATTGCTTTACATTTATGAGAATGAAAAATTTTAAACTGTACATATTTTCATTTTCCTCAGACTTTGTTTCCTTTAGAATTTTTTTTCTATGACTTTAAAATGCCGAGACATTTCACATTGTCATGAATGGCTGTGCCATACCAGTGCTAGGGCTGGGGATGAAGAATGGGCATCCCAACCCACGTCAGTCAGTCTGGGGGAAACAGACTGGGCCACATGGGGGGGGCTGCAACACGGACCCCAAAGACCCAGAGAGCACTGAGGCCTCCATCCACCCAGCTGCACCTTGAACCCATGGAAAGAAACCTGGCTGTAGGTCCCAAGCACAGTGTCTTGAATTAATGAATCAATCAATTAATTAATGCAAATAATTTGCCCCTCAGGAGTTATGAGAGGGTTTGAGCAGACTCTTGCCCGGA